TCAGCCTATCATCCACCTAACCAACCGCTCAGTGTCTGCATCCCCCCTCTGTCAATCGCTCCACTGGCTTCCAATCGCCCAGAGGATTCAAAATATTAACAACCACTTACAAAGCCATCCACAACTCTGCCCCGGCTATATCTCAAACCTTGTCTCAAAGTAACACCCTAACCGTCCTCTCCGCTCCTCCCAAGACCTCCTGCTCTCTACCGTGTTTCCCTGAAAATAAGACCTGTCTTATATTTTTTTTGGTTCAAAAAACCCACTAGGTCTTATTTTTGGGGTAGGTCGTATTTTTTTTAATGTACAACAATCCAAAGTTAACGCAAATCCAAATTAAATAATCCAAAATAGCAAAGTTAGGAATAGGGTGATCAGGGCAATCAGGGGCGCCGTACCTTTCCAAGAGCAATTTGGTAACCAATCGCTGGCCAGAATGAGCGAAGCGCACTTTTACTATTGATTCCTCACAGGCGGAGTGCATTTGGTATCACTCCGCCTGGGACAGGAGCCGGCGCTATAGTGGAGGCATCGGCTTATGCGGCTCTGCTGCCGCCTCGCTTCCTCTAGCGCTGGCTTCCTTGGCACCGCTGATTCTCTCCTGCGCCTCTTCAAGTTCCCCCTTATGCCACCTCCGGCCCTGGGCATGGTCACAACTCGGTCTTATTTTCGGGGTAGGTCCATGCTCGCCTCCAGGACTTCTTTAGAGTCTCTCCCATTCTTTTGAACTCCTTACCCCAACCGGTCCGTCTATCTCCCACTCTGACTGCCTTTAGGCGATCCCTAAAGACTCATCTCTTCAGGGAAGCCTATCCCACCTCAACCTAACCGCTCAACCATCACGTTCTCAAACAATTCATCCCCACGCAGCTCCCTCCGCATGTATCACTTTCCCCTCCCTCTTAGACTGTAAGCCCTCAGGGGCAGGGCCCTCCTTAACATCTTGTCTTGAATTGTATTGTATTGTGATGTCTTCCCTATGTTGCAAAGCGCTGCGCGAACTGTTGGCGCTATATAAATCCTGTATACTAATAATTTATTATGCCAGCGAATATCAATGAGACAGAGGTTGCCCATACCTCTAATCAGGAGCCAACCTTTCAAGCAAACTTGTCTAGCTGACAGCCCAATAAACAGGTGCTTATGTATATTTGCTATTTTTTCCTCCTTTGGGGGGGTTGCTATTGCTGACCTCCCCTTTGAGAATCTAGCGCCCTGCTGATGCTTTAGCTTTCATGCTTCCTGCTTCTCTGACCTGCAACCAATATAGAGATAGTGAATTGTGAAACTTTCATCGTCTACAGGATGCTTGTTCCAGTTTGGTAACCCTAAAATGTTGCAGCAATAGCAGATAGCGTTTCCAAACGAAGGTCAGCAATGGCAGACCCCCAAACTTTGGCAGAGTCACTTTAAGTAAAACTCTTTTTTTGTCTATAGATTCCATAATTGTTGTTATGAGCATTTTTCAAAGCTCCTCTCAACAAAACCAACTCCGGCTGTGCATTAAAAAGCTGCCCGTGGGTCCTTCAACTCATTAAACAAATAATACATTTAGAGAAAGCTTATCGCTCCGTAATGAGGTTTGATATAATGATAATTGCACATCAAAGTCCAATTCAATTGTTTTTTTTTATTTTTGTGGACATAAAATTTTAAATAAAATAAACAGACATAAATGAGAGTTATAATTGCTGATTGCGGCCGGCGATAGCAGGAAACTCGGCACAAAGTCAGAGAAGTAACTGTAACTTTTTGCTTGTCATTAGCGAAGTGCTGTTTTATGTAGACGGTGCAGATGGGGTTCTGTAGCCCGGAGGGGCTTTTCTCGTACGATTCTCTAGAGGCGCGCTGTCCGGGAGGAAGACGGGCTCAGAATGGATGTAAAGAGTCAGGTGCAATGCGGTCCCAGAGAATATACTTAATGATTGCAGCAACTTCCCCGCTCAGACTTCATCTCCCGTTTTATGCTTGAATTGTATTCTGATGCAAAATGTATCCGTCAAATGGAATGAAATGGAAACCTACAATGACACTCTAGCAGAGCGCGCTTATTGAACTTCAGCAAATGGTTATAAAAGATTAAATTGTCACTAATCCTTCCAGTTGAAACCAGCTTTAGAATCCAGCGGGATATCCTAAACCTCACTTGTTAAAGGAGAACTATGAGGTGAGTGCTTTTCACTCACCTCATAGTTCTAGCCGACCTGTGACAATGAGACTGTCACAGGACGGCTCAGTAGATCGGGAGGTGAGAGAACACATACCGGCGCTCGCTCACCTCTCGATCCTGTCACGGCTCTCTGCCGTGACAGGGGAGGGGCTGGATTCCCCCCTTCCCGCTCCGATCCTCCAGCGCTGACTGGTGGAACGGACGGGGGAGGGGGCGGGTGCAGCTGGCTCTGCCTCTAGATAGGCAGAGCCAGCTGTCACTCACGCAGCTAGGCGGATCCTGGCATAATTGTCGGGATCCGCTTCAGCTGCGGCGTCTCAGTATATAAAGAGCTGTAGCTCGCGGTATACTGAGCTTTGGGTGATGGGAGGACGCTAGTTTGTGTCCTCCCGTGACCATTAGGAGAACTATGGGGAAAAACACTTACCCCATAGCTCTCCTTTAATGATTGCAGCAACTTCCCGGCTCAGACTTCATCTCCCGTGTTATGCTTGAATTGTATTCTGATGCAAAATGTATCCGTCAAATGGAATGAAATGGAAACCTACAATGACACTCTAGCAGAGAGCGCTTATTGAAATTCTGCAAATGGTTATAAAAGATTAAATTGTCACTAAACCTTCCAGTTGAAAGCAGCTTTAGAATTCAGCGGGATATCCTAAACCTCACTTGTTAATTCCTTTTTTTTTTTCTGCATTGTGCTTCTGTTTTTCCCGCGCTATCCACGGGAGCAATTTTCACAAACTTCTGTTTTTCAAGTTAAAGCAAAAGTTGAGTTAAAGTTACATTATTAAACGCTCAAGCTTTTTTTTTAAAAAAAGTGAATTTAGGTCAAACAAATGTCCATTGCCCAGCAAAGAATTTCTTTATATTTTTGGCTTAACACTTAACAGTTATTATATTTCAGAACAGCTCCAACTCTCCTAGCTTGGCTTCCCTGAACTAGCTGTCTGGTATGAGAGCACAAAGGGCAGCGCAGTCTACAACAGTTGTCCATCTACTACAGCCTTTGTCAACCAGGGTGCCCTTTGGCTTCCTCAGAGGTGCCTGGAGATTTTGTGATGAGTTTCTGATGTGAGAGGGGGGCTTCTAATGTGAAGAGGGCTTCTGATGTGAAAGGAGGGGAAGTCTGATGTACTGTAAATGGAGGGGGCTTCTAATGTAAAGGGGGGCTACTGAGGTAAAGGTGGCTTCTATGATAAAAGGGACATCTGATGTGAAAGGAGGGGGCTTCTAAAGTGAAGGGGGACTTCTGATGTGAAGTTGGGGGCTTCTGATGTGAAGGGGAGGCTTCTGATGTAAAGAGGGCTTCTAATGTGAAGCAGAGCTTTTGATGTGAAAGGAGGGGTACTCTGATATAAAAGTAGGGGGCTTCTAAAGTGAAGGGGGACTTCTGATGTGAAGGAGGGGCTTCTGATGTAAAGGGGGCTTCTGATCTAAAGGGGGCTTCTAATGTGAAGGGGGGCTTTTCATGTGAAGGGGGGCTTCTGATGTAATGGGGGCTTCTGGTGTGAAGCAGAGCTTTTGATGTGAAAGGAGGGGCACTCTGATGTAAACGGAGGGGGCTTCTAATGTGAAGGGGGCTACTGAGGTAAATGGGGCTTCTATGATAAAAGGGACATCTGATGTGAAAGTAGGGGGCTTCTAAAGTGAAGGGGGACTTCTGAAGTGAAAGGGGGGCTTCTGATGTGAAGGGGGCATCTAATGTGAAGCAGAGCTTTTAATGTGACAGGGGGGGTTCTGATGTAAAAGGAGAGGGCTTCTAAAGTGAAGGGGGGCCTCTAATGTCAAAGGCAGAATTCTAATGTGAAAGGGGGGCTTTGATGAGAAGGGGGGCTCTTGATTTGAAGGGAAAACTTTGATGCAGAGGATGGAACCCCACTTTTCCATGTGTTTTTGTGTGGGGTCCATTCCTTACATTTTAAACTGGGGTGCCTTAAGATTTTTCATACTTTTTAAGGGTGCCGTGACTGCAAAAAAAGGTTGACAAAATGCTGATCCACTTGCTTGGAGAAAGTTGCAGGGAAGTGGCATGCTTTCCCTTGTTGTGCATGTGTGTTTGTGGAGACACACACACACAGGTTGTTAGCACACACAAGGGTGGCTACATAGGACCCTGCAAGGGAAAAGAGCCACCCTAAAACAGGATAACAGGCTGGAAACCAACACTTTTAAACATCAAGGAGTAACTAACTTTTACTCACATAATACAAGGCTAGGGTTATGGAATATTAGGACTCAAAGTGGATAATTGTTTCCAATTGGCCTCTGCTTCCCTTGAGATCTCCTGCAGCCCTCCCCCAGCATATGAATTGTTGATGCACACACGGTGATAATGTTTTTTATTGGATTGGGTTGATAATTATCCCATTCTATCATAAACTCCCCTCTGATGTCTCCTGAGGAAGTAGAGATTTGGTTCAAGAAACATGTAGTGCTTCATTTCCCCACCTTATACTCCTATTTCTGACAACTGCCAGGGGCTGGTGGTTTATAGACAAGGAGGTTTGATTATGAGTATGGTAGATCATCTATTATATTGTCTTTTGTTACATTGTCTTTGCATCTATATTGGGTACCTTGAAAGTCTTATTTTTTTCCTTTTTGATAATTTCTGCTAACTTTTTTGAATTGCAGTACGTTCAAACAATTTTTTTTCTTTCAGAATCCATAGGCCTTTGTTCTAAAGTCTGTACTTTGTTTTTTAATCTTACTGGTCATCACAGATGAAATGGCCGCTATAGCGCACCATCTCACTCAGGGTCTCATTTGTTAACTTTAGGAAACGCTAATAATATAGAAACAATGCAAAGAGGTTTTAGAAACTTACAGGATAGTTGGACTCTTATGAAGTCTTTCACACCCAGGCTTTCCAGAAAGACCCCGGAGGAGCTGTTGGTTTTGAAGAAGAAGGCGATGTCGGTGCTGAAGTCGGAGTGAAAAGTAGGAAAGTAAAGATAGGACACGGTGGAGCTAAAAGACGCGGAATTCCAAAAGTTCCCTGCAAGAACCAAAAACAGGAAATACGTATGTTCTTGTTTGTAACATTGTTGACTATCCAATTAAGAGACAATGATATACAGATGGAATTACAAGACATGTTTTCCTTTAAGGAAGGTACCTGTGAGAATAGAAATATGAGAGAGGTCACCAGCTGTTGGGCTGTCATACCCATCCTTGCTTTACTATCTACTAAGTCACTGACCTAGAACAAGCATGTATCATGTGTAGAACTGAATCCCTAACCTTCGTAGTTTCTAGGTATATGAGTAGAGGCTCTGGACCTGAAGTAGATTGGCAAATGTTTGTTGTAGAGCGCAATAACTCTGGATAGACTGCTCACTTATGGGAAAAAGCTTCCGTAGATGTTTCAACTGGAATGCAAGTTATTGATGATAAGAGAGAACAACACCAAATGTGAGAAGCCCAAATGGTTTATCGTGACAAAGTGTACTCAGCAAAAACATAAACCAACACCTTTCAGGGCTCCAGAGGTCCCACTTTCACATGGGCTCTGTACACTGGAGGGAGTTGATATGAAGTAACTGGACTCAAGGGTATTAAAATACTCAAAAGTACTTAATACAAGGGGTAGAGCACGCCAGCAGTGAATTTGGGGAGCAATAAACTATTTGGACTGTCTACATTTGGTATGGCACTGCTTTCTCTCCCATCACACTGAGCAAGAAGCAAGGATGATCATGGCATGCTGGAATGATACACCTATGAAAACAAGTCATCAAAGGAGGCTCACTTATGCTAACAGGCTTCCTTAAAAGGTGCAGTCCTGTAAAACATGAACATTCTATATAGCTCAGATGCTTAAAAAGTAGTCTGAATTTCTGTCTCCTCATACTATATACTCCTCATCACCTGGCTGCCCTGAGAGGTACACTATGCGGCCAAATATATGTCCAGGTGTTCCCATTGAAGTGTTCGGATAATACTACAGCATACAAAGACATTTTAGACAATTGTGCTCTTCCAACCTTGTGGTCAGTTTTGTGAAGACCCTTTTCTGTTCCACCATGACTGTCCCCTGTGTACAAAGCCAACACCATAAAGACATGATTTGACCAGTCTGTTGTGGAGGAACTCAAATGTCCTACACAGAGCCCTGATCTCAACGCTACTGAACACCTGTGTGATTAATTCTAATGCTGATTGTGAGCCAGAACTTCTAATTCAACATCAGCACCAGTCCTCAACCCTACTGAACACCTTTGGGATGATTTGGGATGCTGATTGTGAGCCAGGTCTTCTCATCCAGCATCAGAACCTGACCTCATAAAGACGTGTGAGAAGTCATCTGCACTGGATTTTCCTAAAACATGGCAGAAGGAAGTTTGAGTGCACCAGGTCTAGTATAATTGCACTTCTCTGTTGACGTCTAAGAAAATGTTTGGGTATATATGTTAAAGTTCTGCTTAAAAACCGAGGTTTTGGACCTGCAAACTCGGCACATACTAGTGGATTCATCAACAATCCCTAAATGCTACTTTTTATATAACTGTCCAAAGTAGATTCATCACCCACCAGCTGCATTCATCAAAACTTTCAATTCTCAAACTAGTAAATTCTGGCAAAGATGAAGATTGGAGGAAAAAAAAAATCTACTCACTGTCTCCGTAGCAACGCAAAGGACCAATTTTCCAGGCCGCCTCTGAACCTGGTCTATTTGTGTCAGTAATCACAATCTGAGAGACTGGAAGGTGTTCTTTAAAGGTTAAGAATCCAGTGTCATTCGTCCTGGGAAACAGAATAGAAAAGTGATTATACCCCCCAGTTCCATGATTTGTTACAAATTACATGTTTAATACTGTAACCTATAAATAATATTGTCAATGCTGATTGGGCGATAATTTCCACAGATTAGTAAAGAATTAGAATGGAACAATCAGATCCTCCCGTCTTTTTTTCACAGCATTTGTTACAATGTTTCCTCTTCCAGAAACCAGTCCAGTGGTATTTTATTGTGAATCCCTATAAAGTTGTAGTTGGAAGTCACAATGTACAGATATAGCTCATTCAACTTTAAAGTGACATTAAACCCTCAGATTTTTTAACATAAAACAATACTGTAATGTGCGCCTTACTGTAATCCATGGTTGTTTCCCTTCTCTTTGCTGCTCTTCCTTTTAAATCTGTATCTCTTCTCATGCTTGGAGAGAACTTCTGTTTTGCAGCAGACTGCCTTGTCTCTGAAATGGATACATGGTGTCTGTGTGTAGGTTCACAACCTGAGCCAGCACTACAGGAAGAGGCACTCAGCTGCAAAGGGAAGTTCTCCCCCAGCATGAGAAGAGATAAGGATTTAAAAGGAAAAGCAGCAAAGAGAAGGGAAACTACCATGGATTACAGTAAGGCGCACATTACAGTATTGGTTTATGTTAAAAAATCTGAGGGTTTAATGTTACTTTAACTCTAGACGGGTTCTTTACTATTTCCTACCAGGAAAAGAAACCTGATGGTGAACTAGGAAGACCAAAGATCCCTTAGTTGCATAGTTATACCGGGGCCATAAACTCCATGAGGAAGGAGCTGTGTGGGGGTGAATAATTTGAGAACGTGATGGATCAGTGTTTAGGTTGAGGTGGAATAGGCTTCCCTAAGAGATGAGCCTTAAGGCATCGCCTAAAGGCAGTCAGAGTGGGAGATAAACTGACAGGTTGGGGTAAAGAGTTCCAGAGATATAAAGGGGAAATAATATTTTAAAGTAGAACACATACATAGGATAGGGCACATAGAAGGGCGAGGAGTAACATAAAGTAGGGCCCAATGGGGGTAAGGGGGCTCTAGGACACGGTTGAATAATTAATACATTTTATCTCACAGGGTTTAGAGTAGTAATTGAAGGGTTATATTTAGAAATAAGAAACACATTTAGGTCTTTCTACCACATTATGCACAAGATTTTTTACTTTCCCCCTCTTCTTTGGGTGAAGTTTTGGATAATGGGAGAGAGTGTACGGGTAGGCAAAGAGAGAATAGGAGGTTAGGTGAGACTGAGATGAATGATCATAGCTATGTAGATAGTAAAGTAATATAGACATTTACAAATGAAGAGCTACTTGTTAGGTTGCTTATGGGACAAGCTATGATGTATGAGTATAATTGATGACATGTTATGTATTTTTTTCCCCTCCTTTTTCTCTGTATATTGAAATACCGAAATAAAAATATATTAAACAAAAAAAAAGAGTTCCAGAGGATGGGAGAGACTCTAGAGAAGTCCTGGAGGCGAGCATGGGAGGCGTTGACAAGGGAGCTGGAAAGCAGGAGTTCTTTTGAAGAGCGGAGGAGGCGGTTAGGGTGATACTTTGAGACAAGGTTGGAGATATAGCCGGGGGCAGAGTTGTGGATGGCTCTGTAAGTGGTTGTTAATATTTAAAATGTTATCCTTTGGTTGAGTGGAAGTCAGTGCAGGGATTGGGAGAGGGGGGTTGCAGACACTGAGTGGCTGATTAGCTTGATGTTTTAACAATTTCCTCATTTTGTTTTCACTTCTGACCATCCTGGCGAAATTTAGCAAGAGACCTGTAGGGTGAATGATGATTTGTACAGGAAAGCACCCACTATATCAAAAAATATTGTATTCTAGTAAGAAAAACAAAAAACCTGAAATCCAAGGAATGAAAGGCACCAGCCAGGCTGAGCAGGAAAGAGATAGATCAGGGGTGGGCAAACTACATCCCTCCAGCTGTGGTGCACTACAAATCTTTTAGTTCCACAGCTGAAGGGCTGTAGTCCCCACCCCTCCCATTTTGAAATCCTTAGTATGTGCATTGAAGACAAACTTCACCACTGTGAACAAAAAAAGCGAATTGTGAAATCACAACAAACAAAAAAAGTGCACAAGGGTGCTTTGATCCTCCTCCAAAGAGGAAGGGCATAATTCTCTGAAACCCCCAGGATGGAAGGCTCCTGGCAGGGCCAGGGTGACCCTAGTTCACCTAGCCAAAGCCAGACTGTCCCCGTTCCTTAGGGACCTGCGGAAGCAGGTCCACCAAGTACTTGGTGAGGGCTCTCCCAAAGACACTCCTGAGTAGGGAAAGGTAAATAAAACCCATAGAGGCCACAGAACCTCTCCACTAAGGTCAGGGTGGGCCCCAAGGGCACCCTCTGTTTTCTCTGAGTTAAAAAATGTGCCAGTGCTGAGACATGGCAGACCTTCCAGCCAAGATGGAATATCTGGAATATTTGCTCCAGGCTACCCAAAAGGCCTGTCTAAGTACAGAAAATGCTACAGGTAACGTGACCTAGTGGGTCCCAAACCCATAGTGATTTTCTGACACCCCTGACGGGCAGAGTACCATGTGCTTTCAGTCCATGGCCAAACAAGGACAGCCCTATTCCTACCAGAAGGTACTACCACCGGAGGGGTTCTTGTCTACACCCAGGGTCAAGTCTGGTGCACCAGGTCAGAATCAACCCAGGAGGAAAGGAACCCCCCAGCACCCACCTATTACTCCACTGAATACTAGACTGCCATCTCCCTGTCCGAAGATGGCCCGCTCTCCCTCTGGAAACTGTTAAAAACAGATACCACACTTGATCTTAGCCAACAGATTGAGCTGCCACCCCTGGGCTAGTTAATGCTCCAGCCTGCCAGGAAATGAGGTGGGCCCTATATGACCTGCTGCAGCTTCTAATACACATTGCAAGAAGCTCCCAGTGTGCAGTGACATCAGAGGAAACCATTTCAGCCTAGGAGAGGAGCCGGTACAACTGTGCAAGACTGAAGGGAAGGACGGAGGTCAGATATAGGACTGAAGGGGAGGACGGAGGTCAGATTGAAGACTGAAGGGAAGGATGGAGGTCAGATATAAGACTGAAGGGAAGGGCGGAGGTCAGATAGCAGACTGAAGGGATGGACGCAGGTCAGATAGCAGACTGAAGGGAAGGACGCAGGTCAGATATAAGACTGAAGAGAAGGCCGGAGGTCAGATATAAGACTGAAGGGAAGGACGGAGGTCAGATATAAGACTGAAGGGAAGGAAGGAGGTCAGATATAAGACAGAAGGGGAGGACGGAGGTCAGATAGAAGACTGAAGGGAAGATCGGAGTTCAGCTTTAAAGTTGGAAGACAAATATCGCAGCCAGTCAGAAAATACATCTTCTCTTCATGTAAAGTTGTTGTATATTTCCTCGGTTAGTGAGTCTTGCATTTGCTCCATTTGACCTTCTGATACAAAACGACTTGTGGGATTTTTTGTGTCCCGCTGAGATGTGTAATATGCGGCCCGCCTGCTGAGTACAAGACTTGGCGGCGCTGAGGAACGTGTTTGGTATCTGCCTCGTGTTCCATTAGAAGCACTGAAGATGAAGACAGACGGCAGTGATTGTTTAGCAATGGAGACGGCCGGCCTTTGTTACGCCCCTCACGGTAAATATTGTCACTTTATCTGAAGCTGGACGGGGCACAGAGAAAGGGGGAAGTACCCGAAGGTTTGGGGTCAATTCTATTTGATATATTTTATATAAAATATCTGGATATTTTACTATTTGTATCATTTTTTACATAATTATAATGTTTTAATAAAGGGAGCACTCGTACCACTGAAGTGACTGACAGTTTCGTGTTTTTCAAACTGAGGAGACAGTTGAGCAAACTGTCATTCTCTGAATGAAACTCCATATGGCTGCCTCTGTTCAGAGTGATAATGGAGGGGCAGTTACTTATCTCGTTCGCATATATCTTTAAATTTCAGCTTGAGCTATTGAGCTCTACAAACTACTAGCTTTTTATTTATCAACAGAGCAGCTAAAAATAGAAGGGAAACATGTAAAAAGCAGCCTTCTTCCATCAAATTCATAAAAGTGCTTAAAGGAGAACTATGAGGGGGCGTGCTTTTCACTCACCTCATAGTTCTAGCCGACCTGTGACAATGAGACTGTCACAGGTCAGTTCAGTAGATCGGGAGGTGAGAGAACACATACCGGCGTTCGCTCACCTCCAGATCCCGTGACGGTTTTCTGCCGTGACAGGGGAGGGGCTGGATTCCCCCCTCCCCGCTCCGATCCTCCAGCGCTGACTGGCGGAACGGACGGGGGAGGGGGCGGATACAGCTGGCTCTGCCTCTAGATAGGCAGAGCCAGCTGTCACTCACGCAGCTGGGCGGATCCCGGCACAATTGTCGGGATCCGCTTCAGCTGCGGCGTCTCAGTATACCGCGAGCTACAGTTGCATGTCGCAACCCTAAGGAGAACTATGGGGAAAAGACTTAACCCCATAGTTCTCCTTTAAGGAAACTGTACACAGTGAGGCAGGAAGCCAAGCATGCTGAAAATAGGAATCAAGGGTTTACATACATTAGCTGAAAAGAAGCATGATTTGCAAACTGCATGTCATGGAGGCACCCTTTAAACTGCATGTCATGGAGGCACCCCTTAAACTGCATGCCATGGAGGCACACCTGTAAACTGCATATCATGGAGGCACCCCTGTAAACTGCATGTCATGGAGGCACCCCTGTAAACTGCATAACATGGAGGCGCACCTGTAAACTGCATGCCATGGAGGCACCGCTGGAAACTGCATGCCATGGAGGCACCCCTGTAAACTGCATGCCATGGAGGCACCCCTGGAAACTGCATGCCATGAAGGCACCCCTGGAAACTGCATAACATGGAGGCACCCCTGGAAACTGCATGCCATGGAGCCACCCCTGGAAACTTTTGTTTTAATGTGTATCTCCTTAATGTGTGCAACATTTTACATTTCTAAATGTTAGATTCAGCGTTTTATATCATTGTAGAGAGGCCGCCATATGCTGGAACGGAGTCTATAGATTTCCTTTAATGACCTTTCTTCTTGTTCCCGGTTTTTAAGGCTTTGTGTATAATGGGAATGTGGATATAGTTCATATAATCACATAAGCATGGACGCCGCAGGCCTGCACTCCATAATAAGAGTCCCTCCGCTGACAGATCTGAATTTATAACGGCGTGTACAATAACACATCTGTTTTGTATCTCTCCAGTCGCTCCGGCACACCTGAGCCTGACGGTATTAATCAGTTATAAATATTGATGACCTGCATTGATTTACACCGCTTCATTCAAAGCCACGCGCTACAATTAATTAATATTTCATTATTGGGTTATTATCTTTTTTGCTGCATTAAACAGGAAAGA